GGACAGCACCCAGGCCCAGAGTTCAGGCCCCACGACCGGACCCCCCCCAAAAAATGTGTTTCTCCCATGAACCTCCTATGAGCCTTGGCGCTTGCGGGAGGCATTTCTCCCATGAAAAGAACTTTCCTCCTGAGAATTTAGTTTAAAGACATATAATTTGAGATGTGCAAAAAAATTAGCTTCAAGTTCCATTTGAAATATTCTTTCAAAATTTTAAAGAACATCTTACAACTCAGCAGAGGGGCTTGTTTTAAAAAGCTATGAACTCTGTTAGGATGTAACTGTGAAGATATAAAAACGACAATGTACAAGTGTATTTATGGACACGGAAGGAAATTCATGAAGCAGTAAATGTTTTCTTCAAGTGTTTATCAACCCATATATACAAGATAGTTCTTTGTAAAATGTGTTCACAAAAGAGATTTTGGTGGGTCTGGACAGGGAAAAAGAAGGGCCATGGTGAAGGTTTGCATTTGCAAGCCTGGGAGTGGACTGCATGGGATCTGACCTCAGCCAGTCACTAGACTGGCCCAGTGTTTTTGGCTACACCAGGTATTGAGTGAGCCTTTGGCAGACATGAGCCAGCAGTCCTCAGTGCACTTTTGCTTCTGAGTGGCTTGTACATATTCTGCTTCCATCAGCTTACCCACCTCTTTCTGTCCTCAGGGGTCACGTTTTCCTTTTTCTGGAAGACACAAGGTGAGCAGTCCAGACCAGTCTTCTCTGCCTATGGGGGACAGGTCATCTCTGATGGCTTCAGAGTCTGCTCCAGTGGTGGCAAAGGCTCCGTGGAGCTATACACGCGTGACAACTCCATGACATGGGAGGCTACCTTCAGCCCTCCAGGTGAGTGGTGTCTCTAGCCCAGAGCTCCTGATGCTGTTGTGACAGCAGGACCCTGCAGAGCCCGTGGGGGCGCATGAGCAGGGTGTCCCTGGGAGGGCATGAAGCCTGTGACAAGGGGTTCAGAGCTGGGCCAGGCAGTCCTGACTGGGAGCTCACTGCAAGCTGCTGTGTGCATTGTGGAGTGGAGGTGGGAATGGAATAGAACCTGCAAGCAAAGGGCAATGGGAGAACCAGTTTAGGCCTTGCGCCCAAACTCCAGGGAATCCTGTCAGGCCCCACCCTAATATACCACATAAAGATCAGAGAAAGGAGGCTCATTCACACCATAGGCAGTGCAAGAAGAGGCAGCATACGCATTTCAGCCCGTCTTCCCTGTACAGGCAAGCACTTGGGGCTGTAGTAGAAGAACTGGGCCCATGGGAAGGGATGCATAGTACCAAATAGCTCTGGGCCCCTGGTCTCAGTTGGGCCCATGGTTTTGGTTGTCCTTCATCTTGGTATTGGTCAGGGGGCCTTGTTACAGTGCCAGTGATTGCTGCCTGGCTGGTGCTGTTAGGGGAGGCACTGCTCTTCCTTGCTTGCAGATAATTTCTGTTGTAAAAATGTTATCCATGAGTCCTGGAACTTGCTGGATTCTAAGTAATTGCAAGAGAAGCAGACCCAGAACACCAGTGGTCTTGGTGATGGGGGAGGAGCACTGAGGACCGGTGGTCTTGGTGGTGGAGGAGGAGCACTGAGGACCGGTGGTCTCGGTGGTGGAGGAGGAGCACTGAGGACCGGTGGTCTTGGTGGAGGAGGAGGAGCACTGAGGACGGGTGGTCTCGGTGATGGAGGAGCACTGAGGACCGGTGGTCTCGGTGGTGGAGGAGGAGCACTGAGGACCGGTGGTCTTGGTGGTGGAGGAGGAGCACTGAGGACCGGTGGTCTCGGTGCAGGAGGAGCACTGAGGACCGGTGGTCTTGGTGGTGGTGGCACTAGGGACCCTGGAAAGAGGCAGAGATGCTGAGCTTGATGGGGGTGGGAAGGTCTTCAGGTTCTTATTAAGGCCATGAAGATCATGTACTGGGCCTGAGGCTGAGGTGTAGGGAGAAAACAAGGAAGGCTAGGGAGGGTCCACAGTGGACTTTGAAAAGGCAGAGACTTGGCCATGGGGGATTTCAATTGGTAGGCCAGGAGGGGACCAGAAAAGGCTGGGCAAAGGTAGAGGGGTGGGAGGAAGCTGAAGATGGAGGCCTCGGTAGAAAAGAGGTACCTTTGAAGTATTTTGGGAAATTTATTTCTGGTTCATTGGAGGGAAGTTGTGACTCACTTATTACATGGTCTACCTAGATCCCACCTCTGTGCCTTGCAGTGTGTGGAATCAGGTTCTTACCACCTGTGCGTGGGTCTTTCATTGCAGTTGAGGCCATGCCTCTACCTGTGCCCTAACACACACTCCAGAGTCGCCCTCTTGGACCCCCACGGCCGCCTGTGCTCTGCCGTACATAGTGCTGTTAGAACCTCAGCTGTGACCCATACCATCTCTTGCTTGCTGTCAGAGTTGTGTGTGATAAGAGCCTCATCCTGTTAGAACCTCAGCTGTGACCCATACCATCTCTTGCTTGCTGTCAGGGTTGTGTGTGATAAGAGCCTCATCCCAGTGCACCTTGGGACAATCATGCTAGGCACCTGGCACGTTCTTTGAACTTTAACACATGTTAAGATAAACTCTACTGTTTTCACTCAGGGAAATGGACAGATTTTGTAAACATCTCTGCAGGGAAATATGTTCTTCATTTGTACTTTGAAGGGATTTGTTATTCTCATTTTCAGAATCCAGAGTAATAATACTGTGGGCCTGTTTAGGAGCCCAGTGTCCTCCAGAGACTCAAAATTATTTAGAATGTTGCACAATCCTGAGTGAGAAGCCCTGATGTAATTGCTGGTCATCCTCAATGGCTGGGTGGCGGGTGCTGTGTTTTTTAGACGGGCTGTCCTGTTTCTCTGCAGCAAGCCCATTAGAACTTCTTACACAGAGCTCATAAACAAAAGGGCCCCTTTGGGCAGCAGCAAGTTGCCCTCAGAGTGGTATAAGATCTTCTCATACATGAACATGGCTCTCAGGCTGGAAAAGGAGGGCTTCCTGATGATGAGACAGGTGGCCAGAAGAGAAGGGGCTTCCTCATGATGGGCTGGCCTAGCCTACCGCCCTTGCCTAGATGGCTCTTGTAATACATTCTGTGCCATAGCTGAGACCGATACCACAGGCCATGGGTCCAGGAACTCAGAGATTTTATGGTCCTGTTCTGTGATTGCCTAAGTAGTATTAAAAATACTTTGGATGAGTTTCAGCCATTAGTTATGATTTCATTTTAGCATGGGGGTTTCCCAGTTTTGCTTGGAAATAAAAAGACCGGCAGTACATGGGCTTGACCTCTGGTGTGAATGGTGGGTGCAGGTCTGCCTTCCAGATGGTGCAGCCAACCTCAGTTGGACAGTCAGCGTCCAGACCTGGTCCTCAAGGAGGCTTCCACTCTCAGCTGCTCCCTGCTGCAGCTCTTTGGCTTCTGCTGGCTTGGCTAGTACAGCTGGATGGTGTGCTGTTGTGGTTCTCAACAGACCTTTCAATCCACAGCAGAACTGAGTGCAAAGAATAGAGTGATCCTATGTGTCTCCGCCTCTGCCCACAGTTGGCACCCACAGGTGCTGCTGGCCTGCATTAACACGTCATGGTCATACAGAGTTCACCTGAGGTCCACTCCTGGTGTTCCTTGGCTTAGGCCTTGTGTATAGGCTTGTGTGACCTACCTAACTCAGTTCTTGTTGTCGTCAAAGTTGAAAAGTTGTGAGAGCACCCTTGTCTTGTTCCTGACAATGAGCTCATGGTCTGAGTGGCTGAGGCTCTTTGTCTTGCCTTAATTTTTGTTTTTTTTATCAACCTTTGTCAGGATTTAAATTCATGACTCGCATGTGAAAATTCAAGGGTGGAAGCAAAAGAACTGCTAAAACTGACTAAACTTGTGCCTCAGGCCCTACATTAAGTTACCAGTCATCCTGAGAGAGGGGGCTGTTCTCAGAGCCCCAGGCACAACACTCCTTCCGATGGCTCTCACAAGTGTCTCTCTTCTCCAGGTCCCTATTGGACTCACATCCTGTTTACATGGAAATCCAAGGAGGGCCTGAAAGTCTATGTCAATGGCACCCTGAGCACCTCTGATCCAAGCGGGAAAGTGTCGCACACCTATGGCGAGCCCCACGTCAACCTGGTGATTGGCTCTGAGCAGGACCACAGCAAGCGATACGAGAACGGAGCTTTTGACGAGTTCATCATCTGGGAACGGGCCCTGACTCCAGATGAGATTGAGATGTACTTCACAGCCGCCATTGGTCAGTGAGTGGGCAGCCTGTGGGCGGGGCCACTGGCCAGTGAGTGAGTGGCCTGTGGGCAGGGCCACTGGTTGGTGAGTGGGCGGCCTGTGGACAGAGCCCACTGGCCAGTGAGCGAGTGGCTGTGGGCGGGGCCACTGGCCAGTGAGTAGGAGGGCTGAGGTGGGATGAGGGCTGGTCTTGGGGCCCTCTTCTCAGCATCCCTCCTTCCCAGTCTCCTTGGTCACAGCCGGCAGTGCTGCAGGTGTGAGCTATATCATAATGAGCCTGATAAATACAGTTGTTTTCCAGAACACCTGTTCCCTAAGATAAATTCACCAATTCACCAGAGATACTCTGGGATTAACACGCTCCTGAGTCCTACAGGGCTTCAAGGTGTATATGATGGATGGTTTCAGAAAGCTTTGGATAATAAAACATGGGGTGCATTAGTGCATTTGGTCTACAAACCTCTCCTGAGCCATTTTCCCTGATGAGCCCTGTGAGCCCCAAAGATGCCCCTTCCAGGTTGGTACAGAACAGGGGCTGTGGGCAGGTGGATCAAGGTTCAGACTTTTACTGTGCTAAACATGGGACTTTTTAAAGTTTGTGGTAAAAAGTAAATCCCATTAACAACCATTTAAAAGTGAGTAATTTAGTGTCATTTAGCAAATTAAATCTGTAGTGTGTGGCCACTACCCTCATCTAGTTTCAAAACATTGGATTCTCCCAAAAGAAACCCTGTGCCCCTTTGGCAGTCACCTGCCATTTCCCTCCTTCCAGCCTCTAGCAGCCACAGACCCGTCTGTCTGCCCCATGGCCTGCCTGTTCTGTCGATTCCATACGAATAGAATTGTACAATGTTTATCTCTCTGCTCATAGCTTTCTCCTTTGTAAAATTGGGTAAAGATACCGTCACCTCCTTTCCTGGGGGTGTTGCAAAGACAAAGTGTGACAAATTACCAGGCCACTTGGCACCATGCAAGGAACGTGGCACGTTGCCAGAGAGCCTTTGATGGATTTAAAATTAATATGCATTGTGCCCACCACTTCTCTGTTTACACAGAGAGCAGTCTGTCAGGAAATGACAGTCACAATGTGTGCCCCTTACACATTTGGTGAGCTGCCCTAGCACCCAGGGGCAGTTAGGACCCATGCGGTAGGAGCCAGGTCCCGCAGCCTGGTCCATCCTTGGTCAGGACCTGACCTCATTGGGCCACTATTGACTGGGTGGGAGAAAACCCAGGTCAGAACCACTTCAGCCAAGAAGACCATTTGTTATTTTGTTGTTTTCCTATCTCACACAATGAAAAGTCTAGGGGAGAATTTGCTTAGAACTGGTTCGGTTCATGTCCCAATCTCTGCTACTATGAGTCTGTCTTGACACTACCTTTGTCCATATTAAATGGTCTTGTGGCTGCCAAGATGGCTGTATCCCCTCGTGGGTCACATCCTCTCCCCTCAGCAACCTCAGCAGAAATACAGAGCCTCCCTTCCCCATCACCTCCCACAGCTGGGTGGGACCTGAGTGTGGTTGGCTTGTTCAGCTAATTCCTGTGGTTGTATATGATGGTTCTGATTAGCTATTCCTGAGTCCAACTCATCCCTGGACACAGCAGGGGTCAGCCTGGTCCAAACATTGCAGGAAAGGGAATCCCCAAAGGGTGATTAGAAATGTGGGCTTCAGAAGAGGGAGCAGTGTCCAGGGCAGCTCTGGGCATTTCTGTCCTGTAGCCTTCACCAAGGAAAATGGGACTTAATTACTTTCACAGAAGGGATAGGATCATCGTGTCCAGTAGAAGGGAAAGTGGTATCAATGTTTTGCTTTTTGTTGCCCGGGACTCAAGAGTTGTCACTTTGAGACTGAGGTGTTATTTGTATCACAAACAGATTTGACTTCCTGGCAGGTGCCTGTTTTACTGACACGGGGAAGAGTTGCAGTTGTTTCTGGTCCTTTCCTCCAGGCCTTTTGTGCCCCAGGCCCTCTTGGACCCTCCACATGTAGGGAAGGTGATGTTAGATTCCATGGGAAACCCAGGACAGTGGCTCTGAACACTTAGAGCTCCTGAGATAATTCCTGTGCCTGTCCCAAGCTGTGTCCATGGCCATCAGCTCCTTTCTCATGCAGAGATTGGGTTTTGGAGACCTAGCTTTTGAAGAAAACTGAAGAAGGCCTCTGGAAGGTCCTGTGTGCGGCCCAACTCTCCATGGCTCAGCTGGCTCAACATGACAGGGCTGGGGCAGCTATGCACAGGCTGACATTGGAGCTGAAATCCAGCCTGTAGAAACTGTTCTTAGGCAGCTGTGAGGGGACCGCAGATGCTCAGAGAAGGCATTGCTATGAGTGCCCTGTCTGAGGGGACACCTCCTTCTAACCCCATCGGCTGGAGCCGATACCGTTTCCTGATGGACCTGTCCAGGTGCATAGGAGCGGCCTTTCCCTAGAAAGGCAGAGTGCTGACCATCTGTCACCCTGCCCTGGCCACTGGGATGAGAAGCAGCTCCTCTGCAGGGAAGTGGAGAAAGTGAAGGCTGTGCGCAGAGCCATGCAATTTGAAGACATGCGTCTGTGTATGCCAGGAACACACTGCATCTGCCAGCTGCCTGCAGAGTGGGGCAGTGTGGGGCTGAGCTAGGCCGAGTGTTGCTTCTCAGGCTTCACGTGGTCACCACCAACAGGGGAGACTTTACTTTCCCTGGATTTAGTGGCCTCACATGAGTTAGTGTAAGTTTGCTGTGGTTACTCTCTAACCCCTTGGAGCGAATGTCACTCTGACATAGAGAACAAAGCTCTTCCATCAGTGTCAGGACTGCCCCTCCTGTCACCCAGCCAAGCCCAAAGCCCTGACACTTCCAAGCCAGCAAGGGAAGTGATATAATTTCCTCAGGTCACCTAAAGCAACCTTGAGTTAGTTTCCAAGAATAAAGAGGATTATCTAGGAAGTTGGTGGAAGAGACAGACCAGTAATAGGGCCTCACCTTGGTCTCAGAGATCATAGTGGCATGAAGTCATCTCTGTGAGCTCCTCTGCCCACTCTTTGGGGTTCAGTCTCCCTTCCTCTCTCCCAGGGGAAGCACTGCTCTTTATTTTATCTCCAGTGAGTCTGTGCCTCTTTTCCTGTCCTTATTTAAAGTTGGTGATACCTTGAATAATTTTTTTAATTTAATTTTATTTTATTTGTGAACATACTGTACAGAGGGGTTACAATTACATGGGCAGGATAATGCGTACCACTGGCACGTGGCCTAATAATTGTTTTTATATGATAACTTGCATGAAGGCTGTTCAAAACAGTTTATTTATTTATTTTTTGTTGGTCATGGGGCCTGGGCACTGTCTCTGAGCTCTTCAGCTCAAGGTAGCATTTGAGCCACAGCGCCACTTCTGGCTTTTTCTGCTTATGTGGTGCTAAGGAATCGAATCCAGAGCCTCATGCATGCAGGGCAAGCACTCTACCACTGAGCCACCTTCCTAGTCCTCAAAACAGTTTAGAATATAAGTGGGAAAATAATTTAAGCTGGGAGAATCTACATACTCTAGCTATGTTAATTAATCTAGCTAATATATTAATCTTATCTTTCAAGCAACATTCCTACTCCAGACATTTTGAGCTGTATGAATATCTCCAGCTGGTAACTTCTAAATAAGGACAGAAAGCTGGGCGCTGGTGGCTCACGCCTGTAATCCTAGCTACTCAGGAGGCTGAGATCTGAGGATCGCGGTTCAAAGCCAGCCCGGGCAGGAAAGACAGTGAGACTCCTATCTCCAATAAACCACCAGAAAACCGGAAGTGGCGCTGTAGCTCAAGTGGTAGAGCGCTCGCCTTGAGCTGAAGAGCTGAGGGACAGCGCCCAGGCCCAGAGTTCAAGCCCCACGACCACAAAAAAAAAAAAAAAAAAAAAAAAAAAGGACAGAACTTCCTGAGGGGGAAGGGCAGTCCTGTTGCACCGTTGCTGAGGCATGGTTGGTTTGTTCCAGGAAAACATGCTTTGTCTTCAACACCACCGAGCTTCTTCGTGACCCCCACAGCCTACACCATGGTGAGCTGGGATTTCTTTTGTCCTTACTGTCCACAGCTTTCCACCTCTGTGACCAGATAGCAGGAAAACAGCCAGGGGGGAAGCTTTATTTAGACTCATGGTTTCAGAGGCTCAGTTCAGGGTGGGCCGGTTCCTTTGCTTGAGTCTGAGTCTGAAAGGCTGAAGCATCATAGTGGAGTGGAGGAAAGTTGCCCATTTCCTGGCAGCTGAGAAAGGTAGACATAGACAAGATATACCCTTCCCAGGCATACCCCCAGTGATCTGCCCAGGAGCCCTCCATGCCAGGAGCACATTCAGGGTGAGGCTAGCAGCTTCACGTCAGTCCATGCCAGGAGTGTGTTCAGGTGCGGCTAGCAGCCTCACATCAGTCTCCCCCTCCTCCCCCCGCCCCCCAACATTCAGGTTTTGCTTAGCCTGAGTGCTCTCAGACTAGGAGTGCAGTGTCTGAGAAGAAATAACAAATGGCTGGAGGGAAGCCAGCTTCGGGGCTGATTCTAGGTGCCAAGAGTGACTGAAGAAAGGACACCTCCATTACCTAAAAGTGAAGGGAGCAGAGCAGAGCTCCACCAGGGCTCCTCCTAAGTGCCTCCCTGCTCAGCTCCCCGAGCCTGTCTTTCCTTTTGGAATTGGAGGAAAGGATTCATAGAAAAAGTATTGCCCACTCAAACTCGCATGAGTAGCCAAAGACCTCTCTTTGTCTGAGAGCTTCAGTGGCAAGTATGCACTCGAGTGTCTGCAAGGGCTGGAGTCCTAGTCCTCCTGTGTCCTGTGAGCTTCTCCTCCGTCTCTGCATCCCTGTCAGCCTCTCCCCGCCTCCCATCTGCCTTTCCTCAGTCCCCCCATCCCCATCAGCCTCTCCCCTGTCTCCTCCCACCCCCACATCCCTGTCAGTCTCTTTCCAGGCCTCCCCACCCCACCCCATCCCTGTCAGCCTCTCCCTGGTGCTATCATGTCTAAGCTGGTCTACACTCAGTTCATGGACTGAATCACCTTAGTTGTGGGGATGTAGTGCTGTGCCTCAGAGTGCCATGTCATTACTATCTTAGGATCCTAGCCGTGGCTCCAGCGTATGACCCTGCACTTGTACAGTTTGTCTGGCTTTAGAAGGTCACGTGGCCAATTTCCTTCAGGTGCCCACAGATGCCTACCATCCCATCATAGCCAACCTGACAGAGGAGAGGAAGAACTTCGAAAGACCTGGAATTGTACTGCGTTATCTTCAAAATGTGTCACGTAGCCTACCCAACAAGTCCCTCTCTGAAGAAACAGCACTGAACCTCACAGAGGTAACAGAGCCCAGGAATCACTAGTCTTGTTAAAAACAGGACCAGGGCCTTGACCTAAACATTAATGGTACAGCTGGTGCCTTGTATGTATTCAATCATAATACACACCCCTCCGTGCTGCTGCTTCCCTACCCTCTTGGGCCTCCTGTCAGGGAAGGGAAGAGTAAGTGGACAGAACACCTGGCTGGATGTGGGCGTGTGGGGCATTGACCTGTGGGCACTGAGCTTACTAGTTATGAAAACAGATGAATGTGTCACAGCTGCATCCTCACAGTGGGCTGGCTTTACTATGACATCCCCATGGTGGTCACTGGTTTCACAGGACCGAACGGGATGGCGTCTATAAGATACAGCCTGATACTTTAATGCGCTAATGTGAGCCACTATTGCTTTCCACTGTATGCAAAACACAGCCTTTGACCCCTAGAGGCCTGGTGGGTTACAAGTGGAGGCCTCAGGGTGTGCACTAACTGGGGCCACTTTCCCCTGTAGACCTTCCTCAGAGCAGTGGGCCAAGTTCTTCTCCTGCCCAGCTGGACCTACACATCAGAGGTAAGAGAAGAAACAGTTTGATCTGAAGATGTGTGTGCCAGGGAACCATTCTGTCTTCCTAGAAGTGGCATGACAGCCCTGCCCAGATCTAGCTGCCTTCTGGACACCGAGCTCATTTTACCAGGGTATCAGCTGACCTCTGCCTAGCAGAGGGCCCTGTAGCATCAGTCATTGATGTGTCCCTGTCCTGTGGGAGGAGTGGGGTGACTTCTTTCCTTTCAGGAGTTGATATTTGTCATTTTCTGCATTATACTTTTAAAACGTCGTATCATTCTTGAATAGTACTGAAGAAATATATTTGGTATTTACAGATCTCTGAGTAAAGTGAAAATAGAGCATGCTATGGTGTTACAATTAAAGTGTGAAAACAAGAAGCTCTTGTTCTCTGCAGCTAAAATAACCAGGGAGCAGGTAGAGCGATTTTCTTTTATTTCTAAAAGACTTATTGATTTTACCTGTTTAAAGCATATGTCAGTAAATAACTATAAAGAAGTTGTAAAGCGACAATCATAAAAAAGTACGTAGCATGAAAATCACCTCAAATGTTAAGACTAAGTCAGCCTTGTGTACATCCCTTATAGTTTAGTTTCAGTTCTCATATATGCATCTACATTACACACACACACACACACACACACACACACACACACACACGTCTGACTGAGCCTGTTTTTCCTTAGAATCTTCTGCATGCTGTGTGTTAGTCAGGATGGGTTTGACCACTACAGTAACAACAGAGCCCCACGTTGCAGCAGCCTCCTCAGAGGATGCCTACTTTTCAGGCACAGGAGTCTGCCCTGGGTCAGAGGAGATTCCTCTCCATGCAGTGTCTCAGGCCCTGGCTCTACTGTCCATCTTCTGTTGCCAGGGTAACATGTGGCTTTGGGTTGCTGGCAGGACTCCCAAGCCTTGGCCCTGAAGGGTCTGGACCAGAAGTACCTGTTACAGCATTCTTGCCCCTGACCCTTCACCATTACATGTATTCTAGACTGATTTCCAGCTCTAGAGGCAGTGTCTCATTCCCTTCTTTATTAATAAGGCTGAGTGAGTTGTTTGCATTTGGTGAGCTGCTTATTTGAACAACTTCAAATGAAATGAGATTGTTGAACATTGGCAGAAGCAGAAGAAAGTGTTTAGAATGTAAGTCAGTACAGTATTACTGAGAAACAGATTCTCTCTTTAAGAAAGCATTACCCCTCAAGGTTTTAATTTCAAAAGGATGCTGTGCACAGGCTACAGCCAGGGAGTCACAAGGGGACAGCAGGTGGGGGACTCAGACAGATGAGTTTCTGCATTCATTGAAATGAACTTTTTTTGAATGCAAAATATGGAGATCTTCTGCAAAATATGAATAATCATGGAACTCTATGGGCTTCGGCAGGCTCTGATGTGCATTAAAGAGAATTAAGTATCTGCTCCCAACTAAAATGCACACAGACCCTTGTGTGCAGAGCTGCTTGGCTGATTGAAATCAGGCCACCTGCCTAAAGATGATGCCTAAAATTGGCCTCTGCATTCTATTTCCAGCTCATTGAGTTCTCCAAAGAATGGATTGGTGAGGGACTGTGGAAGGCTGAGACAGATATGTCATCTGCAAGGCTAAAGGTGGGAGGAGAGACAGGGAAGGCAGAGCAGGGCCTGGTACAGGGAGTCTAAGAACAGACCTCTTTCCTTGTTCTGTCCCCAAGGACACAGAAGGGTCAGCCTGAGGTGGACATAGGGTCTGGCAGCAGAGCTGTGTAAACTGGAGGGACCTGATCTTCCAAGGGCAGTGTCAGGGCTCCTCTCTCTCTGGGGATGCAGAGGGGTAGAAAGGACCTTAGATGGAGCGTGGAGGAGGCCAGAGAAGATGCAGTCTCCAGTGCTTCCAGTATGTGGTACTTCTGTACCAGCCATCCCTCCACAGAGTACTGCCAGTGTCCTAAGGCTGGGGAGGCCCAGGGCCACTGGCTGTCCTCATGAAGTGGACTTGCTGAGGGCTTGGAGGGCTCAGAGTGTCTGTCTCAGCAGCAGTGGAGCAGTACTATGGTCAGTGTGACCCATGTCCATGCTCTGAGCTCCTTGGGTCATGGCCATTTCCCAGCCTGCGGGCCGGGATGCTGGGACTCACCTCCCAGCCTGCGGGCCGGGGTGCTAGGACTCACCTCCCAGCCTGCGGGCCGGGATGCTGGGACTCACCTCCCAGCCTGTGGGTTTGGGATGCTGGGATGCTATTCTATATCCCAGCCTGCGGGGTGGGATGCTGAGACTGTCTCCATCTCCCTTCCTGAGGGGCAGGATGCTGGGACTTCACTTTCTGTGGCTTCTGTGGGAGGTGTGATTTTGTGCTCTCTGCTGACCGAGGGGACCCTCATGGCCCCTTCATGTCTGTTGCTTGCAGGAGAACACTTTGATGCTAGGCCTGATCAACACCATCGACACTGTCATGGGCCATGTATCTTCCAACCTGCACTCCACCCCGCCTCAGGTCTTTCTGGCAGGCTCTTCCTCCCTGGCAGGTAGGTGTCACAACTGGGGGGACTGTGCAGGGAGGGTGTAGGGTGCTGGCCTGCTATGGTTCTTGCTGTTTGAGCCCCCAAAGTCAGGAGTTGAGGTGGACCTCACCATTTTCCTGAAACACATTGCCTTGTACACAGTCATAGCTGAAGGCAAATGCACATGCGTATCAGGGTAGAGGTGTTATTCGTTACGTACACGTGAGCCTCACAGGAAAGGATTGTCTCATCGTGGCTGTCTAGGTTCAGAATGAAACAGAAGCCACAACCAAAGGTGGATGGTGAACAGCAGAATCGGGTTCCAATGACGGCATGGCCGGCATTCCCAGTCTCGTCTGTGAGCACTAACACTCTGTGGTACACACAGGAGCTGACACCACCTGCAGCTTACCACAGGGCAGCACTGGATGTCTGTCGGCCAGGAGGTCCACCTCCATGCTGTGGTGGTCTGCCTGCTGCCCAAAGTTGAGGCCCTGAGGTTTTCATCTTGCTGCTCCTCATGGGCTCTCAGAGGTTGGACAGGACTGGCCAGCCCCCTAGCATACGCTCTGTCATCGTGAGGCTACGTGCACACAATGACCATCGCACCCCTGCTTCTGTCATGGCTGACTATTGAGAGGGCTGACTGCAGAGGGCAGGAGGGAGGGCGTTCTTTCAGCAAGAGCCTTTCTTCATGTGTGGTGCTTGAATGCACATGCCTGTGCTGACATGTCCATGCACATAGGTATGTGCATGTATCTGCTTACTACCACTTTTTCTCAGGGGACTTGCACTCCACAGGGAATTTACTTGGTTAAAGCAAATACCAGTGTGATTTTCAGCCTGTTTCCCAAGGCCTGTGAGCTTTCTGACCTGCTCCCCTCAACATTCCTCCCATAGACTTCTCTGTGGCCAGGGTCCTGCCCCAGACCCTGAGCGCCCTTCACTACCGCTTCCCTGCCCATGGGCAGAGCTATATCGAGATTCCCCGTGAGGCCCTTCGCAGCCCAGGTAAGTGTGAATGGACTTTCTGAAGGATACCGGGGTGCTACTAGTGGGCTAAAGATCCCTGATGCCAGGACCCCCGAGTGCTGGACAGCCGGTCTCAAAGCCCTTGCTTGGGTGGTTGCCTCTGGAAGCCCTGACTGCCATCCATGGACTGGACAGGGATTCGAGATGGAGCTCTGGGAATCTGCATCCAGGTGGGTCTGGAGTGTCTCCAGGTCTGCTTAGCTCCTACCAGGCAAAGATAACAGGCTGTCTCCTCTCCCCAGATAGAGCACTATGGTTAGGTGAGGGGTTAGTTCAGGATCCAGGTACCAATACCATGCAACCTAAGTCAAGTCCTGTGACAAGCAACTCTGGTGGGAGCCTGTCGGGGTGCAGGTCCCCTCTAGTGCCTGGAGAGGTGGATCTGCCTTCACAGGCCTTACCCACATGGACCATGAACAGTGGAGACAGATTCCTGGGCCTCAACACCTGGAGCCCTGGTCCTTGCCCAAGGGATGGAGCCCAGGCCAGCCAGGCCACTCTGCCCCTCCCTACATGCCCAGTTCCTTCCGCTCGCTCTCTGCCTATGACCTGGAGGACAGCCTGCTGGCCTCCAGCTCCCCTGGTAAGGACATAGGCGTGCTCTGTCTCCAGGGAGAGACCCCACCAGCTCCGCTGAGGGCTGGGTCCTCCACGTCTGGATGCAGGATGTGTCGGGTGCCCAGAGTTCTCCACATGTAGAAACTTTGCATGCTTGGGAGCAGCTATGCTGATGATAAGCCTTGAGTCTGGCTGGAACCTGGGCTCAGCCACTGCTGGCTCTATGGCTTGGGCAAATTACTGAGCATTCTGTACCTGGGAAATACAGTGTCCCCCTCCTGATACTGTAACAGGACCAAAAAGCAAACTGTGTGTAGCAGTGTCTGGTGCATGGTGGTTGTCGTGTGAGTTGCAGTATTCATGTCTGAAGTGTCACTGTGTGTAGCAGCCTGGCTGACAGGCTGCCACGTGCCTGTGGCATGGGAGAACAGGGGACACATGCTCACCTTTTCAAGATGGAATGCAGGGCAGAGGAGGGGCCAGCTGTCAAGTGTGTGAACGCCGGGTGGCTGCCAGCTCCTGAGAGCCTGAGCGCCTCCTCCTGCCACCTCCAGGGTCAAGATGGCCAGAAGTGTGTGCAGAGGGCGTTCCCTTTGTGCAGACGGTATTCCCTGCCACACGTTTGGCAAAGGGCACTTCCCAGAAGAGCCCATGGAGTGCCCGTCTGCCCCCAGGGCTCTGGCATCTCAGCTCTCCCCAAAGCTGGGGTCTGCTGCTGGGCACTCCTTGGAACAACCATGGCACTGCTGCTCCTATAGTCGCTGTTCCTGCTGTCCTTCGTTTTCTTCCACCAAGGAGCTGCCTTGGGCCTTAGGCTCAGCCGTGCTGAGCATGGCTGGCAGGTGAATCTGCTGCTCCCCTGCGGGGTCCTGAAGTGATCTCTGTTTTTCCGGCAGCCTGGACCACCATCGTGGGCCTCCTCTACCATTCTGTGCACCACTACCTGCACAGCATCCCGCCAGCCAGCACACGGTGAGTCGCCTGGGCAGCTAACCTCAGTGATGCGCCCATGCTGCCATGCACAGGCACAGCAGTTTGGTTAGAGAACTCCAGCACCTCACAGTTGGAGGGAGTACGGCCCGTGGCTGCCTGGAGGAGACGCAGGACCCTGCACTGGGACCCAACAGAACCTAGAGCAGGCAGGTTATATGGGGCTCTGGAGCACAGGGCAGAGACCCCACAAAGATTGACCATGTGGCCTTAGACAGCTGCTTGAGCCTCAGTTCCACATCTGCAGACTAGAAGGGTAGCCAGGTGACCATCCTCCATGCTTGGAGGGCTGCCTGTAGTTTGTTCCTATGACAAAGATTCAGTCTTGACCTCACAGGACTGGGTGCAGTGAGGCAGGCCGGAGTCTCTTTTCTCTCCCTGGGTCCAGTCAGTGCTGTCCTCCCAGATCCTGAGCATGGTCTCCTTCCATCCCTCATTCAGGCACCTCATGCCCACTCCCTGGTTCTGGCCTTGAAGAGCTTTCAGGGCTATAAAATTCACCTCTAATTCTACAAGGCAAGCCCCACACACATTAGGCAGGCTTCTGGAGATTGGATATAACAGAAAATCTAGTTTAAATGACTACATTGAACAAAAGGAGAATTTATTGGATCACATAAGCTCAGGAGCAGCTTGATCTAGCATTCAGTTGTGATGGGGCTCTATCTCAGGATCCATCCCTGGAATGGGCTTCCTCCTCAACCAGTCCCCCCCACCCCCCAGGAGATTCTGAGCTGGGAGACCTTGCCCCTCAGCATCCTGCCCCAACTTTGTGGGTTTGGGGCACCTCCTGCCCTGAGTCTTGTGTCTTCTTGGGTGTTGTGGGTCCTGTGCTCATCTCTGAGTGGCACTGTGGCTTGAGCAATGTCTTGTGATGTGCTGTTTGGTTCATACCTCAAGGAAGGGCTTGCTTCTGAGCTAGAGGGAGTCAGCTCCAAGCTCAGTGATGGAGTAAGGAAGGGTTGCCTGCTGGAGGGAAACTGAGGCACTTCCATAGGGAAGGAGCAGATGCTACCATCCCTGTTTTTACCATTTGGTAACTAGGGAAGAAAGTTCAGCCAGGGTGAGCTACCCAGGGTCACATAGCAATGAGGTCCCAGTGCTGAGATCCAGAGCCTGGTGTGATGAATCTGTTCTTCCAGCAGCATCTAACCTTGTAGTTCTGGTATCAGACTTCAGAGACAAGGTACTGACCCATATAGTTCAGCTGACAGATTCAAATCCACCATGGAGAGCAGCAAGGTTGCAAGATAGAAAGCCCAGTCCTCCTGAGGACCCAGGCCTCAGAAAGCTCCTGTTCCCAGGGAGTTCCAGCTGGAACCAGTCTCCATTTCTTTGGCAGGATTTCCGAAGCAGCGTTTTACAGAGACTGCCTGCTCTCTGCGGTTAGCCACCTGATTTCCCTGGAGGTGTCCCCGCCGCCTGCTCTCTCCCAGAATCTGTCCCGTTCTCCCCTGCTCACCGTCCGTCTCAGGCACACACTGGTGAGTGGGGTGCCTTCCACTCTGGCTGCTCAGTGTTTTTGGCTGTGTGCATGCGAAGGGGCTTAGGGTTGGTAAAGGGGTTGTATTCCCTTCTCAAAACTCCATCCTTGGGCCTTGAGCTACAGCAAGACCCTATCTATGACCTGAAGTTGTGGCATGCCTTGTTCTGGGTGACAGGGCCTCTGAGCCTGAGAGGATGAGCCAGCACAGCCACGGTGGTGAGATGCGGCTGTGGCCACTGTCCTGTGGGATCTTTGGCTGTCTGGTTCTCAGTTATCCTGAGTGACAGTGGGAAACAGGCTGCAGAACAGACTCTGAGTGAGAGAAACAGTCCCTGGCCCTTAGGAGCATCTGCACACTCTGGTCCTCCATCACTGTGGTCTTAACTCTTAATTTACTCTGCTATTGGAAAGTGCAGCCGGAACACAGGGCATCTGACGTGCCACCATCCCCTAAGATGCATGTATGTGGCCCCCCTTCCAACGCATGCATGTATGTGCCCCTCCCCCTTCCAATGCACGCACACAGCCTCCTGTGCAGCTCAGAAGCCTGAGCTGCACACAGGGCAGTCTGGTTGGTGCCGTGCACCACAGCAGGGTCCTCTGATGGCCTCTAGCTCCTCTGTGTGGCCTAGGTTTAGCTGCCCTGAGGGGCAGAGAGCCAGTAGGTGACAGCAGATGTTTTTGGTGGCATTGTCATGATTAGGTTCCTGAGGGGAGAAGGCCTGGCCCAGAGGCTGGCTTTGGCATCTCTGTGTCTGCACATGTACATACCTGCACACTCACACCCCTTTGGTGTTCATCGGGCTGGTATAAAGTGTAAGATTCGCAATGGAAAACCATGGTTCCTCCCTTTAACCTTGTGTCTCTGTGTCCCAGTGTCATTTCTTCTCCCTTCCTTTCTCCTGAGAAGGGCAGGCAGTAAAGGAACCTTTGCCCCCTCAGTCTGTCTCCCCAGCACCTCACAGGCAGTCTGTACTAATCTGTGAAGTTGACATTTTTTCCTTGGCGAATGAAGGGCTTGCCATCCGCTCCTGCCTGCTGGCATTTAGGCTGTTTCCAAGTATTTACAAACAGACCCCTGTCCTTTCCGCTCCCTTATTCTGGCCCCTGGCCATGTCATTGTGCTGTGACAAAGAGCAGAAAGGTGTGCATGCAGAACAGAATGGCAGCCCCAACTGCTTCTCTTTCCTGGAAAATGTGTGTGCGTGTGCATGCACGTGTGTGTGGGGTGGCATGTTTGTGTGCATGTGAGACTTGTCTCTAAAGATGAGCCATTTAAAGCTGTCTGTTTTAAATGAACACAGATTGCCTTAGACACTGATCCTATGATCTGAGCAGAGTTCTGGGAGGCAGAAAAGCCTGGAAGTCATTGCCCACATGTGTGTTCCCCCTCCCCCAACTCCTCACACAGCACAGCTGAGAAGTGTGGGCACAGGAGAAGGTGTGGGTGGCCGTGGAACATCTGGACAGAGATAGCAGGAGAGTTGGGCACCCAGGAGGTGGGATAGGATGGCTTCTAGCAGGGCCTGGAGCTGCAGGCAGAACTGAGCCACTGTGCTCTGGAAGCGGAGCGTCTCTCTTGAAGGCTGTCACGCTGCCCATCCGCCCACACAGACGCTGGAGAGGCGGGGCTGTGGAGTGTCCCCTGGCCAGGCACTGGCTCCTCAGAGGAGGCAGTGAGCCCCGGGAGCGGCTGTTGCGCCACGCTCCCAGTGCAGCCCCCAGTCTCCAGCTGTCGACAGAAGGTTCACAGGAGAAGGTGCCAATTTGGAAACCAGAAAGAAAGGGTGGACAAAACGCAGCCCTAGTTAATGGCCGGTTACTGTGGTTATTTTTAACAAAGAAAGCCTTGAATAAGGAATCTTGTCTAAAAGAAGCAGAGAGGAATTTTTATCATAGCAGAAGAGGATAGTAATTGAAGTGTGTCTTGGCCAAGTGTTCTCCAGGCTGTGGAGTTTTCTTTGAAGGTCGCTTGGTTTCTGGGGGTGTTTGTAGGAGTGTCCTAAGCTGCATTGATTTGTTGGATGGGAACATTTCCCATGGACTCTTGTTGAGGGGAACACACTGAGAGGGTACTCGGAAGGCACCCCACCCATCACAGAGGTAACACAGAGCAGGGGTCATGGTGGTTTATTCTGACGTGACATATGGCCCAAGGTCACAGCCAAACTTGAAGCACCTCCTTTTCCCGGCACAGAGCAGATGGGGCTCTCCAGAGTCTTGAGGGCTGGGGTATGGGCCCATGCTGAGGTTCCTGAGTGGGCACCTGGTCATTCCCGCACAAGGGGCATGCTACTGCACCCCCAGCCCACGCCACGGCAGGCTCACGGTGGCCGGGACATGAGGGGGCACGCTGCTGCACCCCCAGCCTGCGCCACAGCAGGCCCACGGTGGCTGGGGCACGAGGGGGCACGCTGCTGCACCCCCAGCCC